GACCTCTGATGGTAGTGTATGTGGAAACAACGCCGATTATGTTCCACAACATGCTGCCCTGAATCCCTTCGTCATTTCATGCATTAAATGCAGCTGTGGGTCACTTTCGGTTGATATTATTGATATGTCACTTTATCGAACTTATCTTTTTCAATTCAGCGTGTACGTATAATATTCAAAATGTGACACCGGATCGGGTTCTGCCAGACTTTAATCACGTCGAAAGTGTTTCTTCAATAGGCGAATGCGCTCGAGCTTGTTATGCAAGGCGGTGTACCATGGCACAATACAACAGTCAACAGCACACTGTAAGTTTTTCCGAATCATGTCTTCGATGCAGTTCGGCGACGGACAGGGGAGGGAGGGGTACAATTTTGCTTTCCATCGATGAGTCGACCCATCTAGATAGCCTCCTCTTGAGTTGACACGTTCAACGCGCCATGCCTTCCGACATATCCCTTACAGACCGCGTCGTACGTTGGGGGATTCCCAATGGTCGTATTTAGTCGCTGGAGGGGCGATTGTCGTATTTCGTCTGAATTTTTTCGATAGTTGAATTTCCTGCTTCATGGGCACTTTCTACGTCGTTGGGAGAATTTATAGAGGGGTGGGGTGAGCGGTCGTACTTAGCTCGGTACCAGAGTTCGAAACTGGGGTCGTATTCCCCGAAAATTTTCCCCAACGGCAGGACGTACCTGATTCTTTAGGCGGCGGTCATATTTTGCCTCTGTCTACGCCAGCGTACGGCGGCTTCTGAGCGGTTCGCCAGCGCCAGCAACTAATAAAGTAAAGGATCTCGCGTTTCACAGTGTATGCCAGCATAAGCCGGCGTCCTCCAGGAGCAGAGAGTTGGTCAAGTAGTAGGGCAACTGGTCTGGCAACTGGCTTTCACGACGCCCAATCCAGCAGCACAGGCTTACGGTGGGTGCTGCCGCACCGTTCAACTGCACTACCGTACATACCATAGTTCTGTGCTTTAACAGTTCTACGGTGCGGTTGCACACGCTGCAGTTCCACAACGCCTTGTCCAGTAGTCTGCTACACTCCTACTTCCCTATTATCCACTCCTGGCGTACGTTCGAAAAGCTCAAGACGCTGCTGTACGCGGCGTAGGTTAACGCAAAGTATGAACGCAACCTTATCGTCTACACAATCGTTACTGTATGAGACAATGGTGAACAAAAATTGGCTAATTGTTAGTCCATTGTTCAACTCCTTGCAGATATTCCCACTTTTGGGTCGCTCACATATGTGGCTCATTTCACAACAGCGAGAGGGTTACCTTATCTGCCTGCACTTGCGCGACTTTCAGCCTGACTAGCAATTGCCTACTCTCCCGCTTATGAGATATTCGCATAAAAGTAGTGCTTATCTGAAGGCAGGTGTGACTTCACGCGACAGATGCGTATTCCCGTGTCCACTCTCCTCTTTAATGCATACAGTCACCATCCCTCCGAAGGAAAGGGTGCCGGACGAAGCGCTGCTAGAGCAGCTTGTAACACGCCCCCACACTCCCTCTGGTTTGCAAGGCAATGACTGCATCTCTCCCGTCTCTTCTGCGCCTGAGCCTTGTAGGAGATTTGTGCAAGTCTCCCAAGAAGTCAGTTTACCAACATGTCGCCGTGGGAACAGCAATGATATCCACTAGAGTTGCTCATACACTTTCGCATCGTTATACTCATTCTGATTCCTGAATCGCTAAATTTCGAAGGATGTATCGAACCAAACAAAATTCTAAATGCATAAATCAAGAAGGTTGAACTTTCTTAAAGCAAGAATTGAAAGGTCCACGGCATCACCTCAATGATAAGGTGTTAGAACAGTGGGTAAATCCTTCTTAAGTTAATCATTCATATCGAAAGTAGGCACTGGCTTCTCTTTAATTATCGCAGAACGTAGCGAAAACCCCCTTTGGCAGGAGGACTTGATTGAAGAACTTGCCACTCTGCCCCTTGCGGCAATGGCCGTTTCCCCCGAAGTACCCCTAGGCGGCATTCATACTTTGCGGAAGCAATCCACCGGCGACCACTAGCGTACGCCT